TTTAGTGCAGATGACAGCCCAGTCATTTCCATCACGTCCATCCCCTCACACACCCAGCTGCCACTCTCCCTCTATATCGACAACATATCTACCTACCAGCCCATCTGGTCAAATGGGGAGCTTGAACCCAACCCACACACCGAAGCTGTCCCCTCCCCTCGGCCATCTGCATCTCTCGGCACCTGTCCACAGTGCCCTGGTGGCCGCTCTCGGACAGACCTTGCCCTTTCACATGTCGCCCGCTGTGTCGCCTCACACGCACCCCGACCGCCGCTCTGCGACGACACCTTAGTCAAGCTGCGCAAGTTCCAGCACTCGCGAGTCGATGGCGATGCTGAGGGCCCCCCAGACTATGTCGCTGGGGATGAATGGCACGCCATTGGAAGCCCTTGAAGAGGTCCGTGTTGGTGTGGACACACCCCGGCTGCTCGAGGTTGAGCCGTCTGGCCTTTGGAGGCGGCAGGATGGCGTTCACGGGGATGGCCGAGGAGGGAGTGGCGGGAGGCGTCGTAGTGAGTGTGGAAGTCTTGCACGCTGCCGGCACTTCACACACCTCGTCAGACCTGAAAAACAGAAACAGACACACACACAGAAACAGAGAGAGAAGACAGTGCGTCTGTTCTGTGCCCGGTGCTCAGAACGTCTGTCTGTCTGTCTGTCTGTGTGGGTCAGTTGGTGATGCATGAGATGGAACAGCACGCCCTCTCAGAGAGGCTCAGCCGACACAATGGTGGTTGTACTAGTGTTGTCATCATCGCGTCCACACCACACACGCCGCTGTCTGATGACGTCCCTTACCCACACACATCCATCCATCTCCCTCTTACTTCCTCCAAACATCTCGGGCCCGACTCGAGAAAACCCGCACCTCTGCGACTCTGAAAGCAAGCCACCCACACACACACAGAGCCCAGCAATTTGAGAATCCCGTCAGCTTTGTTGGGTCAACAGGCATACGCACACACCTATGGAGGCGGACAACCGAGTCGGCGCTTGCTTGGCCGTTGGTCGGTCTGCGGCACATGGGAAGCGAATGAAGGCAGACCCTCTGAGGCACAAACAAACAGGGCGATGGACAGAGTGACTTCATGAGAGAGTCAGGCTTGTGTGTGGCAGGCGTCTATGCCTGCTGCCGTGGTGCTTACCATCTTCCAGGCTGGCAGGGCGGACAGCATCGACACGAATCCATCAGTAATCTTGCCGACTTCGCTTCTATGCGATGATAGTAAGAGCTGAGTCCTGCTGCTTGGTCCTGATGCTGTTGTTGCTGCTGCTGCTCGTCATTGCTGCCGCTCTCGGATGGTTTCGTGGATCTGCCGACGGCAGGTTACACTGCTGGTGGTGGTGGTGGTGGTGGCTCCTCCTCCGAAGGTGCTGGGTCTTCACTTGTGTCATCCGTGTTCGTTTCCTCCAGGCGGCTGCACAAAGGCGGAAACACACAACACACAGCAAAGAGTGTACAGCCGAGAGCCGCATGGTCGCTGACCCTTCGTCGTCCCCGTCGTCGGTGCGCAGAGAGGCCTCCGGCCGCTCGATGAGCTGCGGCACACAACAGCCATCCACCGACCTCTTTTCGTGTTTTTGGCACGTCTGTCGGGTTGGGTACCTCTTTGTTGTCATTCAGCAGCTGCTCAAGCTTGTCGACGTCTTTGGATCTGCAGAAAGAGAGCGGGTCGGTTTGTACGTCGAGTCGTCTGGCGAGATGGATGAGTGATCTTTCTTACTTGACGCATTCTGATATCGCCACGAGCAGCGACCACCCCTTGCGCCTGTCCTCACGCGCTTCCGCGTTCCTTCTCTGAGTCACTGGTTTGGCTTCAAGCTTGCATGCCGAGAGACCTGTCGTAGCGCACCCTCAAGTCCGAGCAACCCATGCGTGGCATCCTTAAGACCGCCCGGCGTGAGAGGGCACACAAGAGATCTGCTGGCTTCAAGCTCGCACAGCTGAACGGGGAAGGGAAAGGAGCACGACACTGTTTGGTAAGGTGTTCCTGTGGTAGCGCACCCTCAAATTCCGACAAACCGACCGCCACCAGAGGGCATAGATGGCCAAGAAATGATGGACGAGAGGGTCTTGCAGCAATGCATTCATCGCACGAACTGTAAGCGGGCTGGGGGGAAACAGCACGACAGACGCTATGGCATCTTCCTGTGTGTGCGTCTGTGTGTGTGGACCTGCAGGAAGCTGTAGCGGCGTAGCGTAGCGTAGCTGATCTCTGGTGTGTGTCTGCTGGGCGATGGACGGCCCGCCAGCCAAAGCCTCTCGCACAGCCCCTCCAGCTCAGAGCGATGACTCATCCAACCGCACCGCGTCGAAGAGCCTCACGAGCCTTCTGGATGGGCTTGACCTCTGGCTCAACGTGTCATCGTATCAGTCCGTCAAGGAGCGCCTGGCGATGAGCTGCGTCTGCCGGGCCTTCTACTGGGCCATCTACTCGCTGATCCGCGTCATCAACTGGCACCGCCCCAACCACGGCCTCAGCTGCAGGGGACCCGGCGGCAGCCTGGTGACGTTCGAGCAGCAGCAGCACGCCATTGTCCTGCTGCCCAGAGACGAGGAGGTCGAGGAGATCGGCCGGGCGCGGCTCTTTGCTTTCGTCTCGCTGCAGCTGGTCAACCACACCGACACGCTCAAGGCAATCCAGACGACACAAGCCAAGCAGCAGCCGGACGAAGATGACAATGAGGATCGTGATGCGGATGGGGGCGAAGGGTCTGAGGACACGGCGAGCGGCCTGCCGGTGGCGCAGGTCAAGGGGCCCGATGCGGTGTTTCCGTCGGTCCGGTCGGTTGAGGTGGACAGCCTCGACGGACTCCATCTCTTCCAGCAGCAGAAGCTCGTCTGCCCGGCACTCGAGCGCCTCACCGCCAAGGTGCTCTCCGACAAAGAGACATCCAACCTCAGGCGCGAGCCATCCATCTACTTTCCCGACCCCCCATCCGCTGTGGCCAAGCGGGCATCCATCCGCGCCGTGCTCGATCGCAGTCTGGCGTTCATCTTCGGCTCGTCCCCCGCGCTCAGCCACCTGGACATCTTCCCACTGCTGTGCTGCGATGTCTACGGCAGAAACGAGAGCTGCGTCGTGCCCCTCACTGCTGCTGCCCTCCCATTGCTCAAGAAGCTGCGCTATGTCGGCCACCTCAAGCTGCAGGGCCACCGCAACAACACGGAGAGAACCAGGGTGGTGAGTCTGCTGCGGCAGCTGACGCCACACAGCGGCGGTGGTGCGGCCGCCTCGTCCAGCAGCAGCGCAAGTGCGGCCCCCTCCCCCTCCCCCTGGCCCTCGCCCTCCCCCTCTTCCTCCCCATCGGGAGCCGCCAAGCGCCAGCTCAAGGTCAACTGCCCCCTTCGGATTGTCCATGACCTGGTCGGTGACGTTCCCGATCTGCCCCTGTGGTCCTGTGGAGACTCGGTGCAGACGATTCGTGAGGCAGAGAAAATGGGTTGGGAGGTGGTGAGAGAGGGAGGGACGACATGCATACAATGCCGTGGTGAGACCACCGAGGGCCCGCCGGCCGCCGAGACCCTCGAGATCGTGGAGACTATCAAACGGCACGCGGGAGGGGGGGACTGCGTGTGGTTGGATAGCCGGTCCGGCGATCCCACCAGCCCCCACTTCAGCGGCATCCAATTCGACAACGCATCCACACTTGAGATCACACTCCGCACCGCCGGCCCCGATGTCGATGCCGAGTCATTCAATTGCATTCCTCTGTGGCTGACCGAGGAGACCACGCTCAAGTCACTCAGGTGAGGCGACAACAAGGGCGATAAAGGCGACTGGCTCAATTTCTGCGCGTGTATGTGTCAATTCAGCAACGTGACGACGCTCTGCCTAACGGAAGTCAACAGTGGCTCATATGGCATCCCGACGTGCGACCCCGAGTACCTGATCCCGCTCGCCACGCCCAACCGACTCTCCCGCCTCCTCTCATCCCTCCCCGCACTCATTCAGGTGGAGCTCGACTACTGGCCGGTCCACGCCATCATGGCCTCTGAAGCGCTGGCATACATCCAGCAAGGCATCGCAAAGCCACTCAAGGTACAGATGTACACACACATTACACGGCCACATCCCTCCCTCATGAATCAACCCTTCTCACTTGGGTCGCAGAAGTTGGAGATAGTGCACAACGAGCCGCTGTTTTTCGACCGGCCCCGCACCAAGGCGGCCGCCCCGGTCGCCTTTCCCTCACCCCAGACCACCCGACAGTACCCCAGAGTGCAAGAGCTCAACATCGAGATCAAAGCAATCCCAATCAACATGGTGGGCAGCGCCGAGGACATCTACAACGCGAGAGCCGAGAGCGTCCCCATGCGGCTAGGGGACCTCTTCCGCCTCGTCCACGAGCTGCGGCCGAAGCACGCCACCTTCAAGCTCAGCGAGCGTGCAGACATCTTCACCGCCCCTGGCAACGCTGACCAAGTCGAGAGCGAGCTCGACTTGCTGTTCCGCGAGGGCCGTGTGCGCGAGGACATGGCCGAGTATGGCATGGAGCTGCGTCTGCCCATGCTCTACCGGCGCTACGATGGTGAGGACTCGTCGATCGAGGACCTGGCAGCCGGGCCGAATGAGCACGAGTTGACCGTCGAGATGGTGATATGGCCGTGGGACGACAGTGATGACGAGGAGGACATGGGGCTCGACGATGAGGAGGGCTGGAGGGACTGAGGAGGGGATGGGGGAGATTGTTAGTTGCCATTGTGAATAGCTACTTAGTGTACAGACAGACAGATAGACAGACAGACAGCCGAGAGAGCATGCCGACCGAATGCTTGGCTGCCGCCTTTTGAGACAAAGACTGCTGTGCGGTGGCTCGCCATCTCTGAGTTCGCCCGAGTGACAAGAGCAGTGAGTAGGTGGTGGGGGATGAGAGGCTCACACCACTCGACTGAGTGCCATAGATCCACATCTACGTCATTGTTATGAATGCATGGGTGTGCTTTCCACACAGAGAAAGAAAGTCATTGTGCAGCGCATCTCTTGTGTGTGCCCGGGGCACCGAGTGAACGTCTGTCCGTCTGTCTGTCTCCGTGTGAGTGGGTGTGGGTATGCGTGTGTGTAGGTAAGGAGGTGATGCATGAGATGGGGGGATGGCAATCGGTGGCAGAGAGGGCAAACGATGATTGCTGCAGTCAGTGAGACATCTCAATGGTGGATGGATGGACCCGTTCGACGGATACGACGATTGTTAGTATGGACCCGTTCGACCATTCTGGGGCATTCGTCTCTATTCGACCTGATGGATACGTCAGCCACCACGGTGAGTGAGTGGGTGAGGGCGTATGTGTGTGTGAATGGCTTCATAGCTACTGTGATGGGGGAGTGGATGCGTTGTGGCTTGTGTGTGTGTGTGTGTGTGAGCGTAGGTCTGATGGACGACCACGAGGCCACCGACAGCTACATCGCTGCCCTGGATAAGCTCTTCTAGTGGTTTTGGCCTTGAAGCTCTAGTGCCAGTCTAGTCTAGTCTAGTTTCCTGCCTCAGTCTGTGTGTCCTCTGTGTGTGTGTGTGTGTGTGTTTGTGTGGATCTGTGTCGATCTATGTGCAAACGCGACAACCGCGGCGCGGCGCGGAGCTCATCCCCCCTGCCGCTGGCTTGTGGGTGGTATGTGGGTGCACACAGACCAGACCGGCCCCCACACACACAGCAATGCAATGGGTCACTCACCGTATGAGTGCGTGGGCGTGCTGAAACAAAAGGGACGTCGATGGTTTGGTTGAGTGTCCCTCCAGCACACATGGCATGGGGTGATGTGATCGATGAGGGGCCGATGGATCGGGCGGGTGACACACAGATGGGCGGGTAGTTTAACCGCAAGAGGGAGCCTGGGAGCTGAGACAGACAGACAGATCATGGGATGGGAGGGCAATGCGCACCGATCGATGGTCTGTCGGTGTTTCTTAGTGATTTATTCACTTATTTGCTTATTTATTGGGCCTGTATGATGGATTGAGATGGGATGGCTGCACATGGGGGTGCATGGTGCTTCAAGAAGGCAGGCCTTGCTCTTGCTGTGTGTCCGTCCCGTGCGGCTCACGCACAGTAGAGCAACAGACATACAGACAGACAGAAGAGGCGTGTGTGAGCTAAGCTGTGCCGTGCTGTGCTGTGCTGGTTGTATGCTGTATGAGAGAGCTTTTAACTGACGAGGCCGTCAGCTTTTTTGCAGCTCACTTTTTCCAAATGCGACTGGGTGAATTCATGTGTGTGTGCCCTGGCTGAGAGATGGAGATAGGCCATTGTCCGTGAGTGAGTGAGCGATCTTTTTGGATGTGAGCGTGGCTGTGGCTGTGGGTGTGGCTGTGGGTGTGGGTGTGGGCGTCCGTGTGCCTATCGGTACGCTCCGTCTCTCTCGTTTTGTTCCCTTTTGTGCGTTTCCGGAGACTGCTTGTGTTTTGAAGAGGAAGGATTTGGCTTGGTGGCCGTGTGTGGTGTGGTGTGGCTGGATCAATCAAGGACAGGAAGGCATTTGACGATCTGCCCACTCACTATTGACGAAGGCGCATCCGCCAATCATTCGGACAGTAAAGTATCCAAACACGCACAGTCATGTTCCAGCTAATTACAGGGGCGGGCGGGGAAACCACACCACACAGAATTGAAGACGACACACGCCCACATGCACCTCGTCAACGTATCTCCCTAAGTAAGACCCACCCCCCTATCGCCCTCAGACGTAGAAAATGACATAAGCCTAGATCCGTCAGGCCGGCCCCACCTCTCTCTACTCCCCCTCCCTCTCCCTCTGTCACTCCGTCGCTGCCACCGCTCAACGGCCGGCCGTTTCTCCCTTGTGTTGGTATCTGTGATGCTTCGCCTCCATCGCCCGGCGATGTCTAATGGCGGCCTGCTTGGCACGTTCCATTCCCATCTTACCCACAGAAAAAGTCTTCTCCTTCTTCTGGTTGCCGTCCTCATGCCATGTGGCCACCCAAGCAATCTGCTTCTTGTGGTACACCACGCCCTTGACGCCGCTCTGATGTTCCGCTTGCTTCCTGACCGACGCCCGGCCGGTGCGCTCCAGCTCACGACGGTGCTGTTCGGCCAGCGCCTGACGGATGGATGGACACACGACAGACTCAGACAGAGGTGGAGGTAAAGGGGAGTGGACGGCGGCCTGCTGACCTTGGCTTTGTCGTAGCCGTGATCCCTAACGAGGAAGCGCTGTTCCTTCAGAGGTTTCGAGTCGTCTTTCTCAGTCCATGATACCCTCCAGCCCGGGGGCTTCTCAGTCCACCTGACCCCCACCACGTCTGACTGATGCTCTGCGATAGGCGGGACACACACAGGTGAAATCGGATTGAATTCGCTTGTTGGGTTCCTCACCGGATTTGGTGATGACGGTCTTCCCCTTGGTGCTGGTCTTCTTGTCTCTGTCGGCGGCCCACTGGGGGTCAGACATACAGATGGACGACAGCACATCACCGGCAGACACCGACGCACCATCCCTCTTGGCCGCCTTGCGCCTCCGTCGTGGCTGGGGAGACGGTGAGCGGCTGCCGTCATCA